TTCTGCTAAATCTACTAACTATGCTACGTATGTTTGTTAAACAATTATGCAATCGATCTCTTTAGGTTTAATGCGTCGTTGATCAGTTTCTAATCGTTACACTACATACCAATTATTTTATACTATTTACCCAAGCCAATACTCAGATACTAACTGTTTTTATTATAATCTAACTAACTTTTATTCCTATTGGTGTACTTATTTTATACACTCTTCCTCAACCAAATTATTCAAATCTCTACTAACCAAATGTCTTTAACAAATTACATAATCTTGATAACTTACCAAAAAAATGACCTAATTCATAAAATTCTTTATTTCCTAGCTTTCAATTTTCTATACATCTTATCTAACATACTTTATTCTAACTTAACACTTAAAAACTTATTCCAAATTTACTTATATCAATAGTTCAAAACTTTAACATATTATATAAAACTACTTTTTAAGTTATTAATAATATTTTTCTTATTATTAATAAATAATTATATAAGCAATTATAAAAAACATATTGTATTTACTTCTCTAACTAGAAAAAATAACAAAATAAACCTCAATTCTAACCAATTTACAAACCCTTAATATTATTTAATTTAGCAACTAAATATACATATTTTTAATAAAACTATACTTAATCATGTTTCTGTGAACTTCTAGATTAATTACATACTCACTCTAACATATATTTTTCTATTGGCCAAGCAATTTGTAAAATTAATATTTAGTTTATTCTACAGATCAAATATAGTATATCATCAAATTATATACTAAATATTCAAATCTAAATAATTGTTAACTATTCTAATAGGTTTAGATCACAGATAAATTAGTCTAAGCTTTTATTCTTGCATATAATTTTTAATTTATTTGTTTTATACAAATAGTAGTAGCTGTATAGTTAGCAGTTTAATAGTTATCTCTAACTGCAAAATTTGGCTTCAGTCATAACATATATATATGTAACTATTTTAAATTATTAATAAAAATATAAGTAAGGCCTTACCTTAATACTAAAAAAAAAATTAAAAAATAATATACACTATTTTTTAATCAGTATAAAATTGCAAATTAAAATATTTAAATTTATATTAAAATTTACTAATATAACTAAAAATAGTTGTATTATTCATGTAAAATACATATACAATGTCTTGATTATAATAAATTTTTATTTTTACAAAAGCAAGCTTTAGTACTGCAATTTATTTTTACAACTGCAAGAATATAGGTAAGTTTTTTTAACTTGAATAATTATTATTTGTACTATTACTTTAATTCAAATTATATTGGTAAAATTTTAATTAAAATTTGAAATTTTTTTATTTACTTATTTTGAAAATGTATAAGTTAAATGTTTTTAGATATTCTTGAGCATTTTTGTATTAGGATTTCTTGAGTCAGAGTTTTTGTATAATATAAATTATATGACTTGAGTGTTGAATATTATAAGTTTAATATTCCTAAATATTATAAATTAATATTTATTATTTTGCATGACATAATTTTTTAATATATTAAGACATTTATTATAGCATTCTATATTTATTAAGTTTTATTTATATATGTTTTCAATATTTAGTTAAAGTTTCTCTGATCAGAAAAGAATTATTCTGCATTATTTTTTAATTTATGTTATCTAAAAATAACATTTGTTACTTGTATTTCACAACTGGTTTAAATGTAAAAATTTTATATTTGCATATTTATTTTACATATTCTATGTTTTTTTTGCAAGTAACCTCTTGATCTTTTTGTCTTTATTAATTATTGTAATTATATACAATTAAAGTGCATGTTACAATACTTAATTTAGACTACTTAACTATAAATATTATTTAATTACATATATTTTTACATAGAATTTTAAAAAAATAAAATTTAAAAAAATTAATGTATTTTATATTGATTATATAATTAATTTATTACAAAATTCTGATATCAAAGATTCTGATAATATATAATTCTGATATTCAAGATTCTAACTAAAACAGAATTCTGACAAGTTAAAATTCTAACTAAGACAGAATTTTAACAAGTTAAGATTCTGATATCCAAAATTCTAAATAGTTAAAATTCTAAATATCAAATATTCTGAAAATCTTAATAGTTAAAAATTTTGAAATAGTCAAGATCATACCTAAAACAGAATTCTGATAGTTTAAAATTCCAAATAATCAAAATTCTAAAAGTCAAGATTCCAACTAAAACAAAATTTCTATTAAAACAGAATTCTGACTAAGACTGAATCTCAACTAAGGCTAAATTCTGATATATTATAGTTGTTTTATAATTTTTAAAATGTTGAATAAAAATTTATTAAATAAAACAGCATCTTATATAATTGCAAAAGCAAAGACTTTAGAAAAAAAAATTAATTGAATAATTTTTTAGCTAATTTATTAAGATTGTAATTTTGGAATAATTAATTTAAATTAATAAATATAGCTTAATATTTAGTAACTAATATAAATATTATAAAACTAGTATGTATATACAGTTGTCTCTAAAGGTAATGTCTAGTTTACATGTGCAATCTTGTATTTAATAAGTTTTATTATGACTTTTAATACATTTACATTATTTGAATTAATTTTTAGTAATTTATTTAAGTCTAAAAAATATTATCTATTATATAAAATAACTTATAATTTCTTAATACAATTACTAGAGATGTTAAATTATAAATTCAATTCAATCTAATTCTAGAATCTAAAAAGATAATCTTGAATTTTGCTTAAAAATACAATACATTTATAAAACCTAGATCTTGCATCAGATATAGAATTAAATTTATTGAATAAGTTAAGGATCAAACCTTTACTAATTTTTAAAAGATTAAACTGAACTAGTTAAAATTCAATTTCAAAGGATCAATTAGTATACCTAGCAATTGCATTATTTTTTTAATTGTTTTAATAATTTAAAATTTATAATTTTTTATTATGTTTTATATTTCTTAATATACTGCATTATATTAAATTAATACTGTATTGTGTAATCTAAAAACATGACTGATATCACATGCTATAAGTTTCAAATATCAAAAATGTCAGATATGTAAGATATATTTGATATATTTGACATATCTGATATATTACTTATATTGCATAAGTGTGATATATATGATATATATAATAAATTAGATATATTCAATATACTAGACAAGTCTATATTGTAAATAGACAAGACAGTTTATTATAAATAAAGAGCAATTCATTTAGGCAAAAAAGAGAAGTAATTTCAATTGTGAAAACATAAACTATCTACTTGATTTATAATTAAAGTAAAAGTGTTGGCTCATAAAAGCACAGTAATTATTAACAAATCTCAGTACTAATACTACCCTCTCTGAAGAATAACCAAACTCATAATAAAGCACTCACTATAGTCATGTGTCTGGATAATCATATCAAAGAAGAGTTCCAACTCCTAATTTGATGTAGTGAAATCCTAATTGAACAATAAAAAAGAGAAGAATTAGTAAAAAAGTAGGTTAAAAGAAAGACTCAAGAGAAGAGACTAGTACTTATCTATGAACAATAATCTACTTGCCAAATCTAACATGCCTGTTTCAACTTAGCCACTATAGGTAACACAAAAGTTGGAATAGTTTAGTAAAAAACTTACTGATTTCTGAAATAACAATTTGGTGGTGACTGTGAGATACAGAATAAAAAACTCTCAAAATAGAGAAACATGAAAGAAGAATATATTAGATAAAAAAAAATAGAAAGTTAAAATTAGTGTTAGAAAAAGAATGAGAAAAGCAATAGAACTTTAGAATACTTACCTAAAAGGATAAGAAAAATGTATAACATTTACTTGCAATAAAGTCTAATCAGCCCTGTAGACAAGTTAATGCCTGAACAATAAAGATACAACTGTCGCAAGCCCTTAAATTTATACTGAAATTATTGGAAGATACTTTTGATGATGTTAAGAAGAAAGAAGATATTGTCTATCTACCTTTATACAAATCAGTTGATCCTGTTCCTTGCAATTGTTGCCCTCTGTATTTCATAAAGACTATTCTACAAAGACTTAAAAAAAACCTGTTATATGTCTACCTCTATATGCCCATATAAACCCATTTATAAAAAAACAAAATCTACTTCCAATACCATTTGTAATTCCTGTACTAAAAGTTCTGTTAAAGTTCAACAACAAGCATCTGCTGTATTCGACACTTACTTCGATTCTAATGAATTCATAAAAGAAATCATTAGTAATTTTGATAAGTAAGAAAAAGCTGTCTTGGAATGCCTTCTTCATTGACTAGTTACCAAATATGAAGCTCTTATACAAAAGTGAGCACTGAAAAAAGTGGTCTAAAAACTTATGCATGAAAGTGACTTGGCCAAGATAGAACTTGAAAATGAGAAAGATCTAACTTTAAACCTTAACTGAAAATCTGCTAACATGAATCACTCTGATAAGAAAAAAATATTGATAAACCTAGTAAACTAACAAATGGCAAAGATAATGAGTTGGAAGACTTAATTGACAGTTACTTAGAAATCCTAATGACCTGGATACCCAAATTAGATTTATCTAAAAGACCAAAATCTGCTAAAATAAAGAAATCTAAAGAACATATTTATTATCAAAAATCAGCAAAAAATGAACAAGTTGATAATGCATATAAAGTTGGATATCATTATAGAAATAAAATTAAAGTTGAAAAGAATAGCTGTTAAGCATTCGATGACTATAACAATGACAATGATAATAATAACAATGGTAATGATAATGATAATAATAATGACAATAGTGACAATAATGGAAAACAATTGTTTCTGATAAAAAAAGTTAAAGTCTCAAGTTGTTGAATTTCAAAAAGCTTGAAAATGCCTGTGATAATTGAAATAGAAGTGTGGAAAAATTTAAATCATTAATAAAAGAAACAGAAAATTAGAAAAGCTTGGTAAAACATATTTGAAACTAGGTGTCTAATAACAAAATAATAAAAAAAGAAAAGCTGTTATAAAGGTATTGAAATTAATTCTTGAAGAAGTAATTCTCATATCAAAAAATGGACCTAAAATAAAAAAGAGAATAATGTCATTAGAGGTAAAACAAGAAACTGTGAACAAAGAAATTACTTAGTACTTATCTCTGCTATAACTACCTTGAAGGCATTTGATCCTGGAGAAAGTTGCTTCTATTTTACAACTAAGAAAAAGTGAAAGTTTATGCATAGTATACACAAACTAAGTAAAAGAAAAATATGAAATTTGAAAATGTAACCAATATCATGTGCTATAAGTTTCGAATGTCAGAAATGTCAATTATGTCAGATATATTTGATATTTTTAACATATCTAATATATTACTTATATTGCATAAGTGTGATATATGTAATATATATGATAAATTAGGTATATATTAATATACTAGACAAGTTCATATTGTAAATAGACAAGACAGTTTATTATAAATAAAGGGCAATTTGTCTAGGCAAAAAAAAGAAGTGATTCTAATTGCAAAAACATAAACTACTTACCTAACTTATAATTAAAGTAAAAGTATTGGCTTATAAATGACCAGTAACTATTGACAAATTCTATTACTAATACTATCTTCTAAAAAATAATCAAACCTGTAATTGAGTGCTCATCATAGTTATGCGCCTGGATAATCATTATAAAAAAGAAGAGTTTCAATCCTGATTTGACATAATGAAATTCTAGTTAAACAATAAAAAAGAGAAGAATTAGTAAAAGAATAGGTTGAAAAAAAGACTCAAGAGAAGAAACTAGTACTTATCTATAGATAATAATCTACTCACCAAATTTAACATGCCTGTTTCAACTTAGCCACTATAGGTAATGCAAGAGTTGGAATAGTTTAGTGACAGACTTACTGATTTTCAAGATGACAGTATATTGCAAGTTTTAAAATTGGTCCTACTATTATTATATTTACATATAATCAATTATTAAAATAAAGTTCTGTTTTTTACTAAGTAATTGGTTATATAAAAAGTAAAAAAAATTTACTTTTCTTATTTTTATTATTTTTAGCCAAATCTAATATGCTTATTTCAACTTAGCCATTATAGGTTATTTAAAAACTAAAAAAGATTAGTAAAAGACTTAGTAATTTACTAAATGATAATATTTAGTTTTTTATAATTTTGATAAATAAAAAAATATAATATAAATTTAGCATTTATAAGTATAAATATTTATTATAAATATAAAAGTATTAATATATAATTAATTTATTTAATATATTTATTTTTTTAGATTTAGTATTACAATTTTTTAAGAGACAATATATTTAATTAACATTGTAGAAGTTATGACTAATAGGTGATGTTAAAAATAAATCTAATCTACTAAAACTATACTAAAATTATTTTTAAACTTTTGAATTAGTAGTCTAAAGAAATGTGTGATTCAAGTTTTAAGGTTTTTTAAGTCTTGCTATAATGCAGCTAGAGATTAAAATAAATTTACTCTTAAATAATACTTTTACTAATTAATAGTATACCTTAGTTGAAGACTAAAAATAATACCTTTTTGCAAAGTTTAGTTCAACAGAGTTTCTGTATTTTGCTTTAATATTTAAGGTTTTTGATAAATATCAATGTGTTACTTTTTACAAAATAGGTTCATGATATCAATTTGGGTTCTACTAATATTTAAAAACTCAAAAACTATAATTCTAATATCATACTGTATAAAAATTAACATTTAAAAATTACTAATTATATTAACAATCATTGTTAAACTTTCAATATTAATTATTATATTGTATAATATCAGAATTATGAATTTTAAGTCTTGGTATCAAAGTTTTTTAGTAAAACCATCAATTTGTATCTGATATAAGGTAACAATAATGTGAATTAGAATTTAGATTAATTGTTAATTTATTATAAAAGGGGTTTTAGTAACTAATTAACTTTTTTTTTCTTATTTTAACTTAAAATCTAAAATATTAATAAAAAAATATTATAGTAATAAGAAAATTTCTATAGTAATTTACTTTATAAAAATTATTTTAAGTGTATTTAAAGTTTTTTTTATTTGACTTGACTTAAAAACCAAGTCAATTTACTTATAAATTAGTTTTAAGTTGACTTCAAATATTATATGCTTTATTGTATAGAAGATAATTATACAAGAGTAATTATATAAAAAAAATTATACAGATTATAATGTGATAATAGTTTTTAATAGTTTTTAATAGCTTTTAATAACTTTTAATAGTATCAAATAGCATTTAATAACCTTTAACAGTTTTTAACAGTATTAAATAATATTTAATGAATTTTAATATCTTTTAATAATCTTTAATATAGTTGTTAGAAGAATTGGTTTTATAAATTAATATAACAATCATATATGCTATATTTTTTTATTATAAGTCTTTTGTATTATAATGTTATAATAACATAATACTATAATGCCACAATGTTGTAATACTGTAATGCTACAATGCTATAATGCTATAATGCTATAATATCACAATATTATAATGCCATAATGCTGTAATGTTATGGTATTGAAATAACTTCAAACTTCTTTTAAGTCTAAAATTATTTTGCTAATTAGACATTTTTTTGTTATTAAGTATTTGATATTTGTAATTAATATACAAATTGCATATTATGACTATATTGTATAAAACAGATAAATAAAGATTAAATATTTATTATTATGCTTATGTATTGCCCAAGTAAAAAAATAAGTAATATTGCATAACTCAACAATAAATAATATAAAAATTTAAATAATTGGTATAAACAAATTATTGTAAAATAGTTAAATATAAGCTATTATAATAAGTTTGAAAGTTTTAAATATTTATTTAATATTTAATAATATAAACATTTAGTTTCTTAGTTGAAATTAAGTTGAGTAAAAATTTTTAAAAATAAGATACCTTTATAATACAGTTATATTAGAAACCAGAATAAAAGCAATTATGGTATTTTTATTTTTATAAATTAAAATTTTATATTATCAAAAGTTATTTTATATAGTAACATTTTTTATATTATTTTTAATAGAGCTATTGTATTATTAGAATATCATAATTGATTATATAAAAAATATATAAAATACAATAAGTTAGATTTATGATAGAAACAGTATATCAAATGCAGAGAGTTAGAAGAGAAAAATGTAAAGATAAATTATATATCTTTAAAAAATAAAATAGTATTAAAAAAATTAAATACATATTTGTTAAATAGTCTTAAAGTAATAATAAATGCAAAGTCATATTTGTAAGCAATAAATTTAGTAATATAAATAATACTGAAATAGTTATTAAGAGTAACATGTTTTGTTTGCTTTATTAAATTACAAATTACAATATATTAAATTATTCATAATAAAATACTAACACTATACCTAGTACAAACTCTGTAAAATTTATAAACTTTGTTATTTGTTTAAGTTTTTTATTACATAATTTAACCTACTTGTATTTATTTATCTAAAATAACCAAAAGTCTTAATTAACCTTATCTAAATTTAACATTCTCTTTTATAAATATTACTTATTATATTTTATATAATAATTTAAATTGTAAAAAAACTCTTTCTGCAAATACATTATATAAAAATTAATTAAAAAAATTGATTATCTAAAAACATTTATAACTATTTATTTTATTAAGCAATCTGTTTTGACATCTTAAGTAAACTTGTTTTGCTTAGCATTTTATATATATTCTGCAAATATTACATCTCTAGATTTTAAACTTACTGAGAAAACTGTACTAATAATCTTTGGTCTTTAGTTTTAACAATTTAATCTTTTTGCAGTTTTTACTGCCTTAACCTGTCTTACACTCTTAATTAAAGCTGTAATACATATTTACCAAGTTAAAACAAGTTTTAAATAAAAAATTTTGACCTAATATTGACTGAACTACAGCTAAATCATCTTTTACTATTTTGCAAAATTTTTTTTACATTTTGTTCTTATTCTATCTTCTTTTTCTCTTATACATTTTTTATATAACTATATAATAATTTTTTAAGCTATAATTTATTAATTTATACTAAAATTTTGTAATCTATTTATTAATAGAATTTCATTAAACATTATCTTCTATTTTTATATTTGGTTCTTACTAATATTACACAACAACTTGTACTTCAAATTCTATTTGTGTCTAGTATCCAAGTCACATTGTAACTCTAGCTACTTTAGTTACATTTTTGTACTATTTCAGTAACATCTTAATACTACAACTCTTGTTTTTAATTATTACCTTTATAAAATTAATTATTTACAATCATATTGTTAACTTAAAAATTTTTCAAGTTTTTAATAAAATATTTACTTAATTTGCCAATACTTAACAATGTTTACCTTAAGTTAACAAAAGCCTAATATAGTAGATCTTAATTATTTTTATTAAAACTTTTACAATAGTTTGAAATTGCTTTTTATAAAAAAGAAAACAATAACAAGACTTGCCTAATTTTTTTTAAAGTCCAACCTAATACTTGCTTAACAAAAAATTTTAGACCAAACAAGAATAATTAGTTCTTTCAAGCTTCTATTTTTATCTTTATAATTACTTATCTCTAAGACAAATATTATATCAAATTTATCTTAATCTCAAACACTAATTATATTCAAGCTACTGAATTTACAACTGCTTATATTAATAACAACTTCAAAAAAATCAACAAACAACTTAACAACTTATGTCTAATCTCACCTTCTTTACTAACAATGTTTCTTTATCTTCTATATCTGATGTACACTTCATACTTGTTCTAAGTGCTTAGTTTCAATTAGCTGTATTAAAAAAAATAAGCATTATTTTTCTACTGAAAAATATGTTATTAAAAATGATGAAGTCTATTATTTAACCTATATAACTGCCTCATCTTAGCATATAGCTAACTTATCTTAAATAAAAAAAATTTCATCCAAACTTTTCAAAATATCTTAATAGAATATATTCAAACTATCAACCCTAATACTAAATCTTTTTATCAAACTTTTTCTAATGTTTTTATTCTTATTAATTTTTTTTTATATCTAATAATACTAACTTTATTGCTAACCAATCTTTAATTATTACTAATCCTAATATCTCTAACTTAAATCTTAACAATTCTAGTAACTCC